GGTGGAATGAGGGTTTGGACAACACCTTCCCTATCCCCCCATAGACTAATAGGGAATTTGCTGTACTAGAAAATTGATGTGTTTAAAGTACAACATTTACATTACCTTTCAGCATTATGGTATATTAAATTATACTTTATTTTTTGGTAGAACAAATCATGTGGGACAGGGAGTAGTGATGTATTTGTGAATTTATGGCCATTCTATTAGACCTTAGAGAGTTTCAAAATCAGGGCAGTGGGGGCTGTAGGATATATTCTCTGGGGAGGCAGTTTGACGGGGAGGGGGAGGATCTGAGTTAGGTAAGGATTACTTTAGCTCGCTTCGAGCAAGCCGGGAGAGGGGTTAAGAGGCATATACAAAATGTACCTGGTTTAAAAGTTGGTCAAAAGATCATCACTATTATATTCATAGGCAACTTCTTTGTTTTTTTAAATAGAAATGAAGACAATGAGGAGGAAGAGAAAGAGGAGATAGAAGAAGAAGAGGTAGAAGAAGTGGAGGAAAAGGAGGTAAGAAAAGGTAACATAGAAGAGGAGGAGGAAGAAGAAGAGGAGGAAGAAGAAGAGGAGAAAGAAGAGGAAGAAGAAGAGGAGGTTGAAGCAGAAGAGGAGGTGGAAGAAGCAGAGGAAGAAGAGTATGAGGAAGAAGAAGAGGATGAAGAGGAGGAGGAAGAGTATGAGGAAGAAGAAGAGGACGAAGAGGAGGAGGAAGAGTATGAGGAAGAAGAAGAGGAGGTGGAAGATGCAGAGGAGGAAATGAAAGATGAAATGTAAGTTATATGGTAAAATATTAATATTTTCAATTACTGAGTTTTGTTGAGTTTTAGATATTACTATCATATCTTATGACGGTGACTCACTAATCGCGGCAATTGCCAGCCGAAGAAAGCGACGATGCACGTGCAACAGATCTTTTTTAACTAATATGTTCAAATGATTGATGTATATATTCATAGGCAATATTTGTTAAATTTTTATAGGTATATAGAGATATAGGGAAAGGAGGTGAAAGAATTGTAAATTTGAATTGGTTTCCTGTTGCCTTCTGGTAGTCTGGAACTCCTGGCCGATGGTTGTTTAATAGTAATGATAATAAAAATTATACTAATAATAGTAATAATATTAATATTAATATTAATAATAATAATAATAATAATAATAATAATAATTGTAATAATAGTAATAATAATGATATATAACAAAATATATTATATAGTTAAATTTATATAGTGCACATTTTACAGCACTTAGCTTCTGTAACCATAACTTCCATTTTAGAATTTGCTTTACATTAGCAAATCAGCCACCTGCATTCCATAGTTTCACCTGTAAAATAAGGACCCTTACAAGTACTATCTCCCTGGAGCCAGAAAGAATGTAGAACTTGTCTAAGGCTGGGAGCTCATTTCCCAAGTAGTCACACATATAACACTATAACATGTACCTATGAATAACTGCCTGCCAAAAATGAATTTTTAATAGGTCAACCAAACCTGCTTATATACAGACATTTTACTGCAAATTTCTTAAATTAATTACTAACCAAATGTAAAAGAATAGGCATTATTTAATTTCCATTAATTGACAGGGAATTTTTTTTTCAGTTAGATTTTGATTGGAATTTTTCAATGTTTGTTTTTATAGCCATGGAGAAGGAGAGGAGGTGGTGGAAGTGTAAGTTTGAGATTATTCAAGGTTACTTTATATTCCACAATTGCAAGAATGTTACATTATAAAACTGCAATAAGAATACAATGATGGAATATATCTATTGTATAACACGCTATCTGTTTAATCATAAAAATTCAAAAAGGATACTCCTAGACCCAGGCCAAAAAAAATAAGCTAATCATCACCTGCTCACTGCTACTTATGTCCCTGAGTACTTAGTGTGAAAATTGTTTCTCTTTCCTGAAAACACAAAGCCTGCTAAATCACACATGGACATTATGTGTGGCCTGTAGGTATTAAGTGGTCTGACAGCAATTTTGTTGTTGTGACTTACTAAAATAAATTAAAAACCATCTTTGGCTAGAAAACTCCTTTTTTAACTGCCTGACACTTAACGTTTCTAAAAATAACATTATGACTGGGTATAAATTGGTAGTATGAAGATGTGTGCACCTAGTTTATGAATGTTTTTGCAAGCACAATGAAAATATAAAATTATAAAGTTTACTGCCCTTTCTTAATGAAAAATTTGATTTGGCCCACAAGTCATTTTTATGCGAAATTTGATCGCATATTTGGTCATAACAATTAAAAGTAAAAAGGTGATAATTATGTTGTCTTTGCTGTGTTGATAACTAAATGTTTGAAGCTCATGTTTTATAATACATTCATTAATATTGTTATACAAAATGATAAATGCTTTTTTTTAATTTTTTATTTCGTAGGCAAAGAAAAGACGGACCAAAAAAATCGGTAAGATTTACCCTGAATTGTAGCCTGGTAATGACCAAAATATTTTAGAAAAACTTTTGATGTCTATTCTTCATTTATTTTATCACATTAGCAAAAGATGTATTGTTAGAAAAATCCTATTAATAAATTTTCATATTTGTTTTCTTGATGTATACTCATCCAATTGTACATTTTATGCAATTCAGAACTAATTTTAAATTTGTAAGGCTTAAAAAATTATGTTCCATTTTTTAAACACTTTTTGTAAATAGAGTCGAAGAGTTTTAAAATGTCCTCTTTGCGAGGTTAAAAGGAAGTACCTGCCAAAGCATCTGAGAACTAAACACAAGGTGGACAAGCCTGACATTTTAAGAAAGTTAATGGATTCAGCAAGGGAAAAGTGAGTAATTAAATTTAACTACTTTAGTGATCTATGTAAAGTGCTAAAACCTTACTAGAACTGCACATATATCACTTGTTTCTTCAAGGTACTTAGCCTAGGATATGCCATTATAGACCCCTTGCAAAGGTTTCGCACTTAACAACGTCTGAAGAGATGGACGAACACAACTTTAAAAAATGATTAAAAATAGAAATAATAAAATTTCTTCAATTTTTATTTTTGTCGTCGATTCTTAATATATGTAAATGTGTCATTATGTGAGTTTCATTCATCTAGCTTTCATAGTTTTGGCACAATAAAAATAAATAAAAACCCCACAGTGTATTAAGATAGGCATTTTTTTGGTTTTGCCTCCACAAAGGGCGCTGCCAGCGTTTCAGCCAGGTCCAATGTAAACATTGCAAGGGGTCTATAGTATCTACATCATTCTGTCCCTGCACTATGGGTAGTGTCTTAGGAAGATTAACAGACTTGGTGTTGGAGTTTTACACCACCTGAATAGTAATTTTGCCAAAAAAAAAGAGAGATTAAAACCATAGCATGTGAGCTTCAGCTCTAATATCAACCTTTATCACAGTGTTACCGAGTGTGCAAGATGGAGTCATAAATAGGAGTTGTATTTTGCTGTATTTGGGAAGTCTTATTGTTCTGCATATTTTACTTTTATATTTGATTAAATCTTTAATGAGTCAGTTGTTTTCAGTTTATAAACTACCATTGATCCTGGTGGGTAAGTAAATCAGGTATTTTAATTTTGCTGATGGTCAAATGTCTAGATGGATTTACAGCCTGTTTATTGTTCCTGGCTACATAAGCCTTTCACTAACATTTGCTTTCAGGTCGCTTAATTTCATTTTTATCGACTCCAATCATGTAATGCCATTTCTTTTGCCACCACTGCAGACGCCATGATCACTAATCTGAGCATGCATTTAGATTATGTACATTCTGTCATAAACTAACAGATTCTATGCCAAATGACTTTAGTTAAATTTTCGATATAGAAAGCACTTATTTTCAATATATGTTGCATAATAACATTATCCATCCTAATTGTTTGTCAATATATGTTGTAGGTTATAGAATGTTACCATCCACACTCATACCTCAATTTATTTGCAGTTTAAGGAATGCTGCCATCCACACCAATCTTTCAATCTATTTTTAGTTTATAGAATGCTACCATTCACTCAGAATGGGTAGAGCATTTGCATCATATGTAATAGATAGCTTATGAGTTTAATGGAGCAATATTTTATTCCTCTCTTTTTCAGTAACAATTCATAACTATTCATAGTCATTTCTGTAGTTTGTAGAATGTTATTCTCATTTAATTTGTATTTTATAGAACACTACCATCCACACTAACCTCTCTATTGATTTTGTAGTTTATAGAATCCTATCATCTGCACTAACACCTAATCTATTTGTAGTATGTAGAATGTTATCATACACAGTAATATCTAATTCTTTTTGAGATTTATTGAATGCTACCATCTCAGTGGGTAGAGCATCAGCATCACATGTCGAAGATCTCGGGTTCAAGTCCTGATTGAGCAAATGCTTATTTCTCTCTTTTTCAGTAATACCATCATAATTGTTCATAGTATTTTTTTTCTCGTTTGTAGTTTGTAGAATGGTACCATCCACACTAAGTATCTTAATCCATTTTTAGTTTATAGGGTGCTGTCATCTACACCAGGGGTGGGCATCAAAATCGGTCGAAGGGCCAAAGTTAATTTTTGATTTAACACGAGGGCCTCACCCAAACTTTGATGTTTCCTGTGTGGTTCTAAAAACCTAAAAAAAATACTGCTTCTACAGTTTTTTTTAGCCGCAAAAAATTCGCTGGCGGGCCGCACTTCATCCAGATCTACACTAATCTAAATCTATTTGAAATTTACTGAGTGCTACAATAGCTTAGTGTGCTTGTAGGGCCTAATTGAACAAATATTTACGGAAAGTTATTAAAGACTCCACATTTGATGCTGTTTATCTGTTTTAATGAAAATAAAATAAAAGTGACTCCAAATAGAGAAAGCGAGGCCATATTACTCAGTAATAGTAATAAAGTAATATGGCCTCACTTTCTCTATTTGGAGTCACTTTTGTTTTATTTTATATGTTTTATTAATGGTAATTTGTACAGCTTCAGATATTTGTCAGGGGCATATATATATATCTTTCCATAGATTTTTTCAGGAGAATAAGGGAACCTCTAAGCCCAGGTACGATTGTGTGGTACCTGGATGCGGTGCCACAAGCTTGGTCCGCATCGACATGCATCTGCATAGACGTCATGGATTTACTGTAAGTTTTGTTATACTGTATAACTAGTTGTTTGATCCAAGAATGCTACACACATTGATACAAATTAACTTTATTAATATCAAATTCATTTTTTTAACACTGTCATAATTATAATCATCCTCAGCCCACTGTAGGGTAAAAGCTTCCTCAGGGTTGGAATAAGTGTTTTTTCCAGGGAAGGAATGTTGCATTTTCCGTTAAAAACATGAGCAATAAACGCGCCGCTTGTGGCATCATTTGGGTGTCTGGTATGAGGGGGATTGTGCCTTTATCAGATACTCAATAACATACAGAAAAATATGAGATTCAGTTTTATACTTAAATAAATGAAGAAACATATGCCTGTAGTATTAAGCAATGTCTACTGTGCTGGAAGAGGCTTAAACCAGTATACCGGGGTAGCCCACTGCTTGTCTCGGAAGATGTACTGAGTTTCTTTTAATATACTGTTTTAAATTCAGTATCATTATTATTACAGTTATCAAAGATCAGTTATTTTATGTGTTGTGGCTCATTGTAGATGTTAACGTAAACAAAAATCAGTGATGTAATTATAATTTTTTTCATTTATTTTATAGACTGGCAGCGCTGAATACAAAAAATTCAGACAGCTGCAGACACAGATGCAGCAAGAAAAATGATGGTAAATATTTTCTGATAATTGTACTAATGAATATAAATTATTTATTTATATGGTCATTCTTCCATTACATTAATTATTATTTTGTTTCAAAACAATATTTACATATTTTGAGAAATTAAATAATAATATTACATACATAAATCATTATATAGGCCTAGATTTAAGCCAACACTCTAATATATAATTAATATGTACAATTCATTAAATAGACTATCATAATTCATACTATAAATAAATTTTTAATTTCAATTAACAATACAAATACATTATTAATTTTAATGTCGACATAAATTATACTTATATGCCAAAGGCGTGTACATAATATTCTAAATAAATAAGACTAAATTATCAATCTCTTAACCGATTTCAAAAGCCGGAGTTAGTTTCAATCTGGAAAGCCCTTGTTTAAAAAACATGCATTTTCTCCATCTAAAGGCTTTCTATGGATGGATGACCTGTTCAAAACACCTATAGACCATATCAAGTACCGTTACGATGTTGACCGTGTGGGAAATTTAGTCATCATTCACACATATACCTCAATTTATTTGCGGTTTATCGAATACTGCCATCCAAACCAATATTTGAAAAATTTTAATTTATAAAATGCAACAATTCACTCAGATATCTCCATTCATTTCAGATTTATATAATGGTATCATGGCTCAGTGGGTAGAGCATCTGAGTTTAATGGATCAATTTCTTATTTCTTTTTTTGTTTTTAGTATTCAATTCATAATTATTCATAGTCTTTTCTGTAGTTTGTAGAATGTTAATCTTATTTAATATTTTTGTATAGAACACTACCATCCACATTAACCTATTGATTTTGTAGTTTATAGAATCATATCATCATCTGCACTAACACCTAATATATTTGTAGTATGTAGAATGTTATCATCCACACTAATATCTAAACCTATTTGAGATTTATTGAATGCTACCATAGCTCAGTGGGTAGAGCATCGGCATCATATGTCGAAGGTCTCGGGTTCAAGTCCCGATGGAGCATTTTCTCCTTTTCGGTAACACCATCACAATAAAATTATACTTGATTAAAAATTGTACTTGGAATAATTTATACTTAACTAAAGTTGTAGTAGGTTAGGAGTTTCAAGAGTTGAAAGTTAGACATGTGTCTACTCAAAGTAAATTCATTTGAAATTTGAATACAAATGACTCCTGGTGATTTTTTTCACAAGTTTGACAAGTTAACTCATAGAAAGTCAAGTGAATCAGAGACAAAAATAACCAAGTTGGTTGGGCCCTTTCATTGCCCCAGTTTCATTTGAGCGAGCACCCTACTTAATTGGTAAAGTTTAGTTATACAGTATGTCGAAGGTCATTAACTTTGGGGTTTGGAATGGAAATACAAAAATATAATAAATTACCTTGCATTGTCAAATTCCAACAAATTTAAAGATCATTTGTTTATCATTTGCTTCACTTTCACCTACAATATTTCATTGAACCTACAACTTTTACAGGTAAACCAGTGATCGCCGAATTCCAGGCATATCTTAAAGATACCCTGCATATGCCAGGAAAGCAGGCTAGCCAAGTGGTGAGGGAGGTGGAAGGCATCTTGGCACATGCAGGGGTTAGTGGTACTAGCCCACCAAGTGCATGGTTCAAACCAGATAATCTGAAAGCGTGAGGTTTTAAGTTTCAATAGGCGAATTGCAGTAATTGATCACATGACAAATTGGGCTATAGCAACAAGCCCGTGGTTTGCAAGATATCCTGTGTGTTCCGTGAGGGTTTAAGTATATGGAGCGTGCAAACGAAAATTAAAATTTTTGTTTTAAAGGAGGTTTATTTCATCCTATCTTATATTCATGACAACAGTAAAGGACTGTTATTATAATTCTTCGAGTATCATAAGTTTGAGGGTGATCAATTATTGCAAATTGCCTTGTATTGTAAGTCTTTTTTTACTAATTACTTTACTCTCAATTCAGTTTATACTGCCAATGAGTAATTTTATTTGATAATTTGAATAAATAAACCTGAATAATAATAATAATAATAATAATAATAATAATAATAATAATAACAATAATAATAATAATATCATGATTGCTAACAGCTTGCTTTTCAAGTGTCTAACCACTTAAGAATCATATGGATCTTCTACCATTGTACGTCTCATTTGTCATTTCCTTAAGTGTATTAAAATAATTTATTTCAGTGCAATGACTAAAATGCATGACACTCATGCAGCCTCAACCATAAGGCATTACCTCAACTCATTTGTTAAATTCATAAACTACGTAAGTGTGTATGGACAGAACGTGAAGGTGTCGGCCGGCATCCTTATCAAATGCAAAGATGCGGCACAAGGGCTGGTAAGGTCGCTGCGGCGAAGAGCTCAAGCAGAACATGTCAAGAAACAAAAGGAGATTGCAGGTAACATGTCTCCTTGTTTAATGTCTGTACAAGGTGTATTTAAGCCTGATTGTTTGGTTATCTATTTTTTACGTTACTGCTGTTGTTAATTTATTGTTATTAAGTAATCGTTTTGGTGCTCCATTTCTGTCTATAACTTGTGATGTGTTTTTTATTGTGTATATGTATGGATGTTTCAATATCTATACACCATGGGCTTAAATACTTGCATTCATAAAGTTGGGTAACCTACAGTTGAGTGAAGTGGTGAAATGTAATTTGAAATATATTTTCCTCTATAACAAGTCTCATGTACAATTATTGTTGGTAATAATGCTTCAATTTTTTTGCATTCTATCCCATGAGTAGTATCTTTGATTTGCTGACCCTTTTCAACTTGCAATAATGAAATTTTTGATGTGTAATTGTTTAAATGGTTTTTTAAAATGCAATTCCCTTTTTATATATTTTTGTATGCAATACAATTTTTATAATTAATATTTTTGATGTGAAATTTTGAATACTACTTTTTTAAATTAATTTGTTTCTTAATTTATGTGTATTGTATTTCTTAATTCAATTGTATTGTAAGTCTATTTTATTAATTACTTTACTCTCAATTCAGTTTTTACTGTAAATGAGTAATTTTATGTATATATTTGATATTTTTTGAATGAAGAAACCTGAATACATAATTAACTTTATAGAAAAGCTCTTTGAATTATTTATTTTATGTTTAAAATGAAAACACTTGGTAGCACTTTGTAGACTAACTAAAACATTATTTACACAAGCTTTCGCCAGCAGTCTATGCTGGCTTCATCAGGTGTAGTGAAGAGGTACTGATTCAATGTAGGTATATAAGCAGTATGAAAAATCTAAGCTTTGGAATGTAGACAATATAGGGTGCAACAATATTAACTTGAAACCAGATTAATTTTGTTTATATTATTTGAAATAATCATGTCCGTGTACCATTATTGCTATCAAAGGTGACCTACTCTCAGCGGAGGAGCAGGAACTCTATATCAGTAAGTCAGCTGATCAAGTGAAAGCCATAGAAGGTAGGCTATACAAAACAGTGTCACTACTAATCTAAAAACCATTAACAAACAAATCTTTTTATTGTCTTGAAGAAATATCAACAGACCATTTCTATTTTTCTTATCCACCACAATTGCTCATAATTATACCCCAAGGGTGGAACACATATTTTTTTTTTAATTAACCCTGATTATCCAAGATGTCCAGCTTGATCATTGCTGAGCATATTTGACTCTGTCCCTTACTGGAATTTTATATGTAGTTTATAGAATGTTACCATCTATACTAATAAATATCCATATCTATTTCTTTTTAGCTTACAGACTGCTATCATCGAAAATAATTATATTTGTGATTTACATTATAGAATGCTACCGTAGCTTGTTTGTTAGAGCTAGCTTTGTGAGTTGAGGTCTTGGGTTCAAATCCTGATCGAGCAGATACTTATTTTGCTCTTTTCAGTAGCAATTCATCATAATTGTTCATACCTTTTTGTTGTTTAATATCTCAATCCATTTACACTAATAGCTCAATGTACAGTTCATAGAATGTTATCTTCTATAATATCTATCTATTTGTGGTTTATAGAATGCTACCATCCACAGTACATGTAAAAAAATACTTGACTCTTCAGAAACAGTATTCATCATAATTATTCTTTTTTTTATTTTATTTTACAGAATGCTGTCCTTCACACTAATATCTCAACTCATTTTGTAATTTATTGAATGCCACCATTATTTTTCATCAAATCTTTCTCATTTCCTTCCCACAGAAAAGATCATCAGGGCAGAGGAAGTGAGTGTGGCAGAACAGCTCTTTCTAAGAGTCCATGTTATGCTTATCCTCTGCATTAATAATGGGTGCCGGGCAGGAGTACTTGAGAATGCAACCCTTAGACAGTACAACAACAGAAAATCAGCAACAAATGGAATTACCATTATGAAAGCAAGTTATTCAAAACTAGTATTTGTCTCTTGATATAGTACTGAATATTATACATTGTAAGGTAAAGTTTGGAGAATAACCCATAACTCGCAGGGTCACTGTGCTGAATTGTGTATGGGGGCATAGTCTGTTAGACTAACTATCAGTTGTAAAGAGGCACCTACATTAGCTGACAAGTTCACATCATTCCACTACGATAGGGGCCGAAATGAAGAATAGTCACATCAGGGTAACCCCCTACTCTTCCGAAAGATGCAATGGTTCTTCAAAGTGCACACGAGCCAAATGTATACACTGGACCTCCATGTTAAGTCCTTATCCGAGAAGACTTGGTTCTACAAACCGAACCGTGGGCGATGAGTGGCTTTGAACCAGTGTCGATGTTAAATCTGTAGTTTATGTACCAAATATTGCACTATTATGCAGGATGTTGATACAGTGACCCTAGCTGCTTATAACTAATTATATAATTAGCACACTAATAGCAGAATAGATAGCTCATGATATTTTTTTTTTCTGCAGGTTCAAAAGCACAAAACGGAGAGTAAATACGGAGCGGCGATGCTGGTGATCGGGGCAGATGTTGGTAGGTTGCTTGAAGCCTACGTCCAACACTGCCGCCCAGCAGCAACATCTTGCCCTCTCCTGTTCGTAAATCGAGCTGGAAATCCTGCTCGATGCGCTCAGGAGATGACCCGGCACTGGGCATCGGTCACCGGCAATTGCCGCTCCGTGAATCCGACTAGAATCAGAAAGGCCGCTGCCACATATGTAAGTTCTTTGCCTTAGCACCAAACCCTTAAAATTTTTGTTAATATTAAGAATTTTTGGATCCTCCCGATTACACATACTGTCTATGAATTACTGTAAAGCCTTCATCTTTCTTAAAATTAAAACTAATCAAAGTATTTCGTGGACCTTTCTTTTCAAGATGAAATTTTTTTCCAAAAAAAAATTATCGATAACTCATCCTAGGCTATTTCCGATTTGACAAACTAGACAAATTTACACTACTTCTTTTTTGAGAGGCCTCTCAAGTGATGTGTGAGGAGTATACTTTAATGTATGTTAAAGTCATAACAAAGACTATATTTTACTTTAACTAAAAGGTGTGTTACCACACACAGCGTAAGACTGGCGCAGCTTACGTCGGGCTTAAGCTAATCCACAGATTAAAATTCCAAAGTGTTTACACACACGGCGTTCACTATATTAACGTAAACCTATTAGTAAAACCTATTAGTAAAACTATTAGTAATCATCGGCCTATGAGGGAATAGGTTTTCAGTTTTAAATAATGTACTGGTTATTAATTGTTAAAATGTTTTCTAGTGCATCATTAAAACATTTAAATCTGTAAATTTTATATGATAATTTTAGTCCTATTTTAAATGAAAAATTTTACATCTAATTTTATGGCTATGTATAACCTTGACAGATGGAAATTGTAGTCATTGTTTTCAAAATCTTTTCTCAAATCTGTTTTATGAAATTGCATTTTTATCACTTTGATAAAATAAGGTATTATGAGGACAATAAACAATTATTATTGTTGTTGTTGTTGTTGTTGTTATTATTATTTTTATTATTATTATTATTATTATTATTATTATTATTATTATTATTATTACTATTATAAGGGTGTGCAAATAAAAAGAGCTCTACAGTATATGTGGCAATCTTGCATCAGTTGAATTGGCCATGTCTAGAGTATAAAAATGCTCTTTAATATTGTTAATAAATTAGAGATGAATGTATTGCAAATAAATTCATAAAGCTTGCATAAGTGTTTTGTACGTTGACAGATGCGGATCGTGTTAAAAATTATTGAACACTTCTTTTTTAACCTTTTAGTCATGGAGTAATTGCGGTGACATCGAACGTGTAATGGTAGCAGACCATATGGCCCATAGACTCTCAACTCAGCAAGCCTACTATAAGGCATCACAGACTGAAAATGATGCAGTCAGTGCACATAATTTAATAGTTATCAACAGATCAAGAGAGGCCAAAAAGGTAAAGCAATGAGTTTGTTATCACTTATCTACCTGAAATCATTAATTGGGAAAAGGAATATTAGGAGTCGTTTTTAGTTCTATCAGATATAGGAAGAGGCAAATGAATTAAAATTCATTCACACACTAGTAAAGCACATTTTTTTTTTCCTTGACATTGCGTATCAATCAAAATTTGAGTTAATTTGCTGTTAATACATGTAACCACTTCTTAGATTTTAAAGTTTTACCTATTTTGAAATATGGGAGTGAAATAAGAGATGATGGATTAATCTTAGATGGTTTGGTTAAGCAAAAACAAAATTAGAATTATCTTAAGTCTGTCGATATGCCTTTGTGTATAAAATAGTGTTTTGCTCCTGTAATCCTCATTTTATCATCAGTTCCTTTTCATTATAGAATGCTACCATATCTCTGTAAGTAAAGCATTCACAACTGCATTTTAGTGGTCTCAGGTTCAAGTCCCGATGGAGCAAATATTTATTTCCCTATTTTTCAGTAACAAAATTCGTCATAATTATTCAGTCTTTTTTGTACTTTGTAAAATGATTCACACTGATGTTATTTCATTCATAGTTTATATAATCCTATCATCTACACTGATCTCTATATTGATGGAGCAAATATTTATTAATCTCTTTTTCATTAATACCATCATAATTATTCATAGTTTTTTTTTTACTGTAGTTTATAGAATGCTACCATCCATACTAATATCTTAATCCATCTTCAGTTTATACTGTGCTGTCATCCACACTAATAATATATGTAAATCTACTTGTAGTTTATGAAAAGAACGCTATCATCAACACTAATATCTCAATTCATTTTGTATTTTATAGAATGCAACCATCCACATCTTGATCCATTCGTAGGTTATAGAATGATTCCAACCACACTAATATCTTGATCCATGTGTAGTATACAATGTTATCATCCACACTAATATCTAAATCTATTTGAGATTTATTGAATGCTACCATAGCTCAGTGGGTAGAGCATCGGCATCAGATGTCGAA